ACGACGACGACGACGACGACGACGACGACGACAACGACGACAACGACGACGGCACACGAACGGAAAAGTGTCTCAAAAAGTGGTTTTCTACGCGTTTCATGAGTTTTTATGATGATCTAAACCAATTTTGCGAAAAAAGTTTTCGGGACCAATTCCTATACTTTCCCTTGACACGTTGTGTACGGAAAAGTAAAATTCGCCACATTCATGATCAAGTCGATAAAACCTTAGCTATCATACTTGGTCGTTGTTAGAAGTAGTTTTGAAGGAAACGTTGTCGCTGCAGAGTGACAGAGAGAGAGAGGAAGAGGCCAAGAGAGTCTTGGACAGTATAGCAAGATATGCGAAATATGCAGAAATCAAACTTGTTCTTATCAATAAGTAGATGCATTTCGATCTATCTCGCTATGTCATTTCATTCTATACCAAATTCAAATCGTATTCACGGAAATTCAATGGTCTTTCCGGCAAATTAGCTTTCGTTTTCTTCTCTTTTTTTAACCTTTTTTTTATTATATCGGCTCATTTCCACTATTGTGTCCCGTGTGCAAATATTGTAACTGAGCAGTCAGTTAACTAATTTCAGACAAAAATGACTTACTTTGATTGACATTTCAGTACAAAGTGTAGTGTAAGTCTATCATAGTTAATTGAAATCATTTGAAGTTACGAGTCAATCTAAGTTGCTTAATTTGGGACAAAGTGATTTTCTTAGAACAAAAACATAAATTCAATCAACTAAAGTCAACTGAAGTTATAGTCAGTCAGACATTTTTTTTTCACACGGGATACCCTATACACCATATTTGAATGTGTGAGCGTAAAAGAGCAACTTAGATTCGCAGTATTTTGAAGTGTAACATCTCCATACAAACGTATACTTTTGCGCTCACACATTCATTTATGTCTACCTGACACATATCCATCACTTCCAAATTGCATCTAATGTATAAACGAATTCAAAACAGAAATGTTTAAAGCAAAATCAACACGAAAAACGTTTTTTTTCTCAAAAAGTAAATTGATTACCTTGAATTTCATTAATCTAATTTCCATCAATCGTATGATATACTGTTTTACGTCCATCTCTCTTTGCTTTGCCCTTTGCTATACTATGGCAATCTCGTTGACAGTAATTACAGCACTGACGTATATAGAATATATTAACTGATCTATAAAAAAACTCGATTTGGATCATTTGTCCATGTTCTTTAACTTAAATTGGTTTAGCCGGCTATTTTAGCTGGGCGAATCTTTATTCGCAATCAATTTATAATGTCAACTACAATTTCAATTCAATTCTAAAGTGTATCAGGTTTTTTTTATGCCTTTCTTGCTATTTTTGTCTTTTTGTTTATTTTTCGTTAGAGGAAGTTTTGGTTAGAAACAACTGAATGAGTGGATTGAGACTTTATCGTTGGATTTTGATAGAAAAGTTTTACATGAATCTCAATTGAACATTTCTTTCTGTTTGAAGTTTAGTATGAATTGCATGCCGACTCCTTTCTTTCAATTAAAAATGAAATGAAAAAAAGGAATTTTGACTCAACAGACGATTATTCTTTTGCAAATGTCAACACAATACAAAATGATGCTACCAGCTGTACAGCCGAACAACGGCATTTGCATCAAATTCGGAAACTTTATTACTAGCAACGTGAATGCTTTTCAGCTTCAAAAAAGTTTGCTTTGCCCGAGAAATAAAAAAAAGTTCAAAAATACATTATTCTAACACGTGTTTTGTTTTCTTCTGTGTATTCTATACAGATTTAGCTGTGTGATTTAACATGATTGATAAATAGCCATGAAAAAGAAATAGACCCAAGCTTCTTTAACGACAATCGTCACCGCTAATTTATTTCAATCTAGATAAGAATTTGAATTTATGCCAATTTTGATACGCTAGTAGCTCTGGCCATCCAGAGTATAAAAGCCATCGCAAAAACAGCAATCAGCATCAGTTAGGTTGATACACTCTCGTAGCACGCTAAACTAAAAACACTAAAAATGTTCAAATTGGTACGTGATTTGAATTGGTGGTCGATTTTGCAAAATTTCAAAGAAATATCAGTTTTTTGGTGTTTTTGTATTTGAATAAACAGTGATTTTGACTAACTCTGTACATTTTCGGTTAAGGTTACTTTGTTCGCTGTCTTCGCTTTGGCTGCTGCCAAACCAGGACACCTCGGCGCTCACTTGGCTGCTGTTCCAGCTGTCTCAACCTACGCTGCCGCTCCATTGGCCACCTCATACGCTGCACCAGCTTGTGAGTTGATTTTAAATTTTACTTACTCCAAAACGAAGACAGTTCTGTATTGTGTGTACCATCAAGTGTACGCTCACTTCGAGTGAGCTATGACATAACTACCAAAAGACGCACTGTATATTCATGCAATCGGGATATTCACATTCATTCATATTACACATTAAGCTCTGAAGGACCTTATCCAGTTGGACGATTCTAAACGTTTATATCTCTAATTTTCTTTATTATCAGACGCCGCTACCTCATACGCTGCCCCAGCTTATACCAGCTCATACGCTGCCCCAGCTGTCTCAACCTACGCTGCCGCTCCATTGGCTACCTCATACGCTGCCCCAGCTGTCTCAACCTACGCTGCCGCTCCATTGGCTACCTCATACGCTGCCCCGGCTTTGGCTACCTCATACGCTGCCCCAGCTTATACCAGCTCATACGCCGCCCCAGCTTTGTCATCATGGTAAACATCTCCGATATTGAGGAACAGCACATCAATACCATCGAAATGTGCTCATAAATAAATAAGAAAAAAAAAATCTTGTGAACATCAGACTGGCTAAATAAAAACACCAGAAAAATTAGGCAAGAAAAATGCAACGACTTTTTTTATTGACTCTCGGTGTTGTTGACATCATATTTTATCACACAAACAATCCATTTTAATTTTTTTGGGAATCATCCTTCTCTTGACATACAAAAAACACGATTTTCACACACTGTTTATGCGAATGCGTTGGTTCCAAAAAACATCAAATATCAACAGTTCGACAGAGAGGATGAACAAAAATTGTATCAAAACGATATAAGTCATTAAAACAATTGATGAGAAAAAAGATTGCACTCGCCTGTGCAATTCAGTCGGTTGTGTCAGTATAAAATAATAATAAAATGTGTCTCTGTCTGTCTAATGCGAATCATCAGAAGTTGAGAGTCTCTAGTAAAGACCACATACTAAAGACACTCTATTATGAACTCAATTAGAGCGACACCCGTCGCATCACTTGGAACTAAATTAGAGTTCGATCGGAATTTGCCGACTTCTCCGTAATAATGCATCCAAAATTTGGATTCCAAATTTACTCACAACTCAATGACAGTGCCGTTTGATTGAGTTGAAAATAACCGAATTAAATAGATCGAAGTCAGTTAACGAGGAAAAAATTTCGATCCCTTTGAAAATGTTTTTTTTCTCCTTTTTCCAAAGGAAGAACCCATCTCAAACGTCAAGGAACCTATCTGAAGAAGGTAAAAAGGCAAAAATTGCTCTTTACTTAACCTTTTGACTGTCTTTCCTGACATTTTTGTCAGTCGCTCCGAAAATCTTGAAAATAGTACTTTTTTTAAATTATTTTTTGATGAAACTCTAGGTATGCTCTTTTCGATCATTTTTTTTCTTAATTCCCAAAAGAAAGTGAAAAAATAAATCTATTTTCCTATGAAAACCCAGCCCAAAGCAAAAAAAAGTCATTGGCTGTCTTTCCTGACAAAAATGTCGATATATATTTAAACCAATAAATAAAGTTGAAAAAAAAGTTTTTGAGCAAAACGAAGAATACCACGTTGAAGAAGACGCTCTCGTGATCTCAAAACCATATTTCGTTTCGTTGGGTTACGGTATGATTTAGTGCATTTTGGTTTTTTGAAAGATTTT